ATCGAATATTGAATTTTTCAAATTAAATATTGAATATTGAATAATGACAGAATATCTTTATTTTTACAATACCTTTTTTAAAATTTTGCTATTAGAACGACAAAAAGCTCACATTATTCAATATTTTCATCAGTCTATAACGTAAATTTAAACAATACGTTTCGTAAATCTCGATAACTTATATACATACTAGAAATTCATTAAAAAAAACAGGAATTTTTTATTCTTTCTTTCATCCCAAAAATTTTAATATAAAATAAAAATTCGTAACTGTACCAAATTAGTGTCTACAATATCTAAAAAAATACATATCATTTCGTCAACTTTTAGAAAAGTTATTCTGCTATAAAAGTTGCCCGAACATTAACAAGAATCACTGTACATCGTATGTCAGAGTCACTTCAATTTTCTAACAACTGACATTCAACAAATTAGCAATGCTATCGATACCAAAAAATTCGACTACGCAATTTAAACATTCTATAACACCGTTCCCCCTGTTATAACTCGATATCTCGCTTCCAAGTATATCGAATTAATTATTAATTTCATTCTTGTCGCGACAATGTCACCTTTTCGAAAAAGAAATGTGCAATATTTTGAACCAGCGTGACACAGCTGAGGATTTCAACGATTTTCTTCGATCAAACTTTTCGACATCAAGCTAATAAATTACTAATTAGTAAGTAAGAAAATCAGTAATTAAGAAACCAGATTAAAACGCCTCGTTCCACAAAATCGAGTGAAATCCGAAATCTGTTCGCATTTAACGTGCTCACAATCTACACTTACACAACTATTGGGTTGGCAACTAAGTAATTGCTGTCTCTTATACACATCTAGATGTGTATAAGAGACAGATTCGTAACTGTACCAAATTAGAGATGTGTATAAGAGACAGATTCGTAACTGTACCAAATTAGAGATGTGTATAAGAGACAGATTCGTAACTGTACCAAATTAGAGATGTGTATAAGAGACAGATTCGTAACTGTACCAAATTAGAGATGTGTATAAGAGACAGATTCGTAACTGTACCAAATTAGAGATGTGTATAAGAGACAGATTCGTAACTGTACCAAATTAGAGATGTGTATAAGAGACAGATTCGTAACTGTACCAAATTAGAGATGTGTATAAGAGACAGATTCGTAACTGTACCAAATTAGAGATGTGTATAAGAGACAGATTCGTAACTGTACCAAATTAGAGATGTGTATAAGAGACAGATTCGTAACTGTACCAAATTAGAGATGTGTATAAGAGACAGATTCGTAACTGTACCAAATTAGAGATGTGTATAAGAGACAGATTCGTAACTGTACCAAATTAGAGATGTGTATAAGAGACAGATTCGTAACTGTACCAAATTAGAGATGTGTATAAGAGACAGATTCGTAACTGTACCAAATTAGAGATGTGTATAAGAGACAGATTCGTAACTGTACCAAATTAGAGATGTGTATAAGAGACAGATTCGTAACTGTACCAAATTAGAGATGTGTATAAGAGACAGATTCGTAACTGTACCAAATTAGAGATGTGTATAAGAGACAGATTCGTAACTGTACCAAATTAGAGATGTGTATAAGAGACAGCAATTACTTAGTTGCCAACCCAATATATTTTTAATTAGAACAACGATTCTACTTTTCACAATGTACAGTCTCATACCAACTATAATACCGAACAGAGCTCACAACCATAACCGCGCGGGGCGCACAAGTGTCGTCAATTTACAGCGACATGAAAAGCAGTATTAAAAATCCGGTGAACCGCGCGCGCATTTCGGCGGGGGCCGCGTAAAATCCAGTAAATAGAGAATGACTTCGTTTCCGCGTACCCTTCGTCGAGTTCCACCGTAAAACCGCCCCGCGAACGAGGATCGCGCGGCGTTACATTTTTCAGGCCGCGTTTTTTTCGAGCCTTCGCTTGTCTCGCAAAGTGTTTACGACGCGAGGAGGTGCACAGGTGTAAGGCGCGCGGCGTAAAAATAATTGCGCGGAGCATGCTCGCTTCGCAATTCCGGCGGTCCACCCCCCGCCTCGTCCCCCCTTTTATTCGTCGTAAAGCCGCCCTTGCGCCACCGCGGTTGTTATAAAACCCGGCCGAAACACGCAGATGCTCGAACCGCACGCCCCGCGCGGCGCGAAGTCGTCGTTTCGCGCCTTTAATTTCTAAATTAATTTCGCACCGGGCGAACGCGGAATTCCGAAGTTTGCCAGCTTTTTCGGGGAACATTCCGGGGACATTTGCTTTGGCAGAGAGAGAGAGAGAGAGAGAGAGAGAGAGAGAGAGAGAGAGAGAGGGGCTCGTATTTCACGCGGAGTCGTCGGACCGATCGAAAATTCCGTCGTATCTGTTCGCAGCCAATTCCGGAAAATCGATCTCGCCGGAAGACTCTGCCCACCCCCGTTCACCCCCCGCCCCCCTAGAGCTGCGATACCGACGATTTAATGGTCTCACGAATGATTCAGTATCTCTCGTTTCGTGGCACCGTGTGCGGAGCCATGTTTCTCTCTCTCTCTCTCTCTCTCTCTCTCTATCGGCGCGGAAAGAGAGAAATTGGCGGCTGGAGTGGGTCAGCAGCCGGCGCCATAAACGCGAATTTAGTTATATCGGCGGCAGCGTCGTTGTCCCACGGGCGCAATAAATATCCGCTCGCCACCGTTAAGACGTCTAGTATCGCTCCCACTGTGTGCACGGCCCCCTTCGTGCCCCTTGGCCGGCCACTTCATCACGCTGGCTGGCCCCCTTTCCCCCCCACCCGCTCGCGATCACGAGGAACGCGCTCGCGATCAAATATGGATCGGCCTGGCGAAACGATGCGCTACTGATTTTACGACGCGAGCGCGCGTTCTCCGTTGTTGTTGCCGGAATGCATCGGGAACCGTGGATTGGAGACGGGGTTTGGAGCAGGGGGGACGAGGAATAGGAACGTCGACGGAGAGGGAATGCTTGATTTTATGGGCGGATTCTATCTACGTGCCGACGAGACTGCGATCCGTTGCGTCGGTATACATAAATGGATTACGAAAATGTTGATGACAGAGGAGAGATGGAAGGATAGAGGGTCGTATAATGGAGGTTGGCGATGTCAGGTGCGATCGGAAAGTATGTGTGATTAATTTATCGTGGAAGGAACGCCCGGGATATGGTAAATTCGCTCCAATTGACGCTTAGATTGTGCACGAAAATGGAGAATTTGGGAAGAGGAGATGCGACTGTTCGAGCCTTGGGGCTTTGTTTTTATAGTTATCGATTGTCGACGATTATAGAAACAAGGTTACAAAGTTGGAATAATGGTATCTGCTTTTTCCAAATTGTCCACTTTTGTGGACAATCTAAGCGTCAATTAGAGAGACATGTTTCTGCATCAGAACTGATTTCGTTGCCTTCGAAATAAGTCACGTCGAAAGCGGTACAGTAAATTCTCTCAAATTGTTCCTCAGCCCTAACTAACACTCAGATTGTCTCCCTAATTGACGCTGACATTCTGTAGAAAAATTGACGAGTTGGGAAGAGGAGATACGATTGTTCGAGTCTTGGGGCTTTGTTTTTATGGTTATCGATTGTCAATGATTATAGAAATAAGGTGCAAAGTTCGAATAATGGTATCTCCTTTTTCCAAATTGTCCACTTTCGTGGACAATCTAAGCGTCAATTAGAGAGACATTACTGTATCTGTTTATGCATCAGAACTGATTTCGTTGACTTCGAAATAAGTCACGTCGAAAGCGGTACGGTAAATTTTCTCAGATTGTCTCCCTAACTGACGCTCAGATTGTCCATAAAAATGGACAATTTAGGAAGAGGAGATACGATTATTCGAACCTTGCAGCTCGTTCTTATAATTGTTGACAGTCGGTAACTATAAAAACGAATTGTAAGGAATCGGATCGTAACGAATTGTAAGGATCGAACAATCGTATCTCCTCTTCCCAAACTGTAAACTTTCTGCACAATCTGAGCGCCAGTTAGGGAGACACTACCGTATTTTCTTTGTACAGTAATGTCTACCTAATTGACGCTATTAGGGAGACATTACTGTACAAGGAAAATACAATAATGTCTCCCTAACTGGCGCTCAGATTGTGCACGAAACAATTGAGGACAATTATGGAGACAATTTGGGAAGAGGAGATACGATTATTCGAGCCTTTTAGCGCGTTTTTATAGTTGTTGGCAATCGATAACCATAAAAAACGAACCGCAAGACTCAAATTAATCGTGTCTCCTCTCCCAAAATTGTCCATTTTCATGGACATTCTGAGCGTCAATTAGAGAGACAT